TACTGAGAATACCCAAACAGCATGCCAGGTTGGGAAACCTTATAAAGCAGTTTAAATTTATTTATTTATTTATTTTTATGAATTAGTTTGTTAATTGTTTTGTGTTGTTTTAAATTTAGAAAGTCAAAATTTCAATGCGTATTAAATCCACGGTCATTTCTACTTCTGCTGAAGAGTTTCATTGATTTAGCCTCAGTTCTCCTCTGCATGAGCCTCAGGGTCACAAAAGGCACAAGGCTAAAAATATTCACTTTGATTATCCTGGTGGGTCCACTGCTCCACAGGATCGAAGACATAACCATGTATGTCAATAAGGAGCATAGGAGTCATTTTGCAGCTTATAAGTTAGTTGTTAGCCTGTATATTTTATACATGGGGAAAGGTATAAACTTGGTTTTCACAACATTGTTTGCTTGTCTTTTTTAGTCTATGAGGTAAAATTTAGGCTGAAAATCCTCAGTTGAAAGAAACCTTCCTAAGCAAACCCATTCCCTCCGAAGAGGGCAAGTAATGGTCAGGTCTGATCAAGGAAGGGTTTTGAGCCTCTAGAGATGAATTCAGAAGACTGACCTCTCTAGGCTGTAAGAGCAGCTCCTTTTCATAAGCAGTGTGCCAATTGCTGCCATCACTTGGTATCAGCCCTCCAGTTATAGGTAATGTAAAGTCAACAAACCACCAAATCTCAAGTCCTCCCAGCATCAATAGCTTCACTACTGCTTTTCCAGTGTGTCCCAGACAGAAACAATCCACCCCAAAGCATCCCAGGAAGAAAGGGTAGAGTAGAGTGGTTATAAAGGAGTGTCTGGCACACTTTATACAAGGTTTATCCTCTCATGGGGAGGTCCCTGGAGTGGCACCCTCAATTCTATTCAGGGCCCGGCACTGGACTGATGCATGTTCCACATCACTGTAGGCCAGAACTTGAGACACCATAACCAAGTTCCTGGCGTGTTGCATTTCCAACATGATCCACTGGAGCTTCACATTCTATGAATTCATCAGTCCAGGCAACCACCCTGCACCATCTTCCCAGGCCCAGTGGCATAGACTAGGCTTCCTCAACCATGAACCCTGGAAAGCACCCTGCTTTCTCATGTTATCTTGTAGGTGTTTTATGGTTTTGCATTTAATGTTTAGATTTATAATACATTTTCAATTAATTTTTGTGAAGGATGTACGGTCTGTGACTAGATTCCCCCCCTTTTTTTTGACATGTGAATATCCAGTTGTCCCAGAACCATTTGTTGAAAAGGCTCTTTGCTTTATTGTATTGCCTTTGCTTTTTTGTTAAAGATCAGTGGACTATATTTATATGGATTCATGTCTGGATCCATATTTACCTACCAGTTATAGGTAATGTAAGGTCAACAAACCACCAAATCCCAAGTCCTCCCAGCATCAGTAGCTTCACTGGGTCATAAGTTCTTTAGCTTCTACATTTCCCACACTACTCTTTCCCTCCCGCTGTCTATTTTCTATTTTTTATATGGATCCATGTCTGGGCTCTGTGTCCTATTCCATTGATATTTTTGTCCATTCTTTCTCCAATATAATAGTTTGATCACAGTAACTTTATAGTAAGTCTTTTTTTTACTCAATACTCACTTGAGGACATGCTTATTGATTTTAGAGAGAAGGGAAGGGAAGGAGAAGGAGAAGGAGAAGGAGAGGGAGAGGGAGAAGGGGAAGGGGAAGGGGAAGGGGAAGGGGAAGGGGAAGGGGAAGGGGAAGGGGAAGGGGAAGGGGAAGGGGAAGGGGAAGGAGAGAAACATCAATGTGAAAGAGGAACATCAATTGGTTGCCTCCCATACATGCTCCAACTGGGTAGGGACCAAACCCACAGTCTAAGCATGTACCCTTACTGGAACCAAACCTGCAATCTTTTGGTTTATGGGATGACGCTCCAACCAACTGAACCACGCTGGCCAGGGCTGTAGTAAGTCTTGGAGTTGCATAGTGTCAGCTTTTTTTCTACTTCAATATTGTGTTGACTCTTTTGAGTCTTCTACCTCACTCTATAAATGTTAAACTATTTTTAATTAAAAAATTTAAAAGATTTTATTTATTTTTTAGAGAGAGGGGAAGAGAGGGAGAAAGAGAGCTTGCCCCTCATCTGGCCCCAACTGGGGACCTGGCCCACAACCCAGGCATGTGGCCTGACTGGGAATCAAACCAGTGACCCTTCAGTTTGCAGACCAGTGCTCAAACAACATATGAATATTAGAGTCTATTCATTACTATCCAAAAAGTAACTTTCTCAGATTTTAATTGGGATTACATTTAATTGATAGATCAAATTTGGAAAAACTGAGATCTTGACAATATTGAGTATTTGTATCTATTAACATGTCTGTGACATGGTTATTTTTAATATGTTTGTATATATATAATCTTCTTCTCATTTCTGGTACAGAATTCCTAAACTTTTAGAGTTTCCTAAGTGATAAGAATGTAGTGGTGTCTTTTAAAAAATTATATATTTTATTGATTATGCCATTACAGTTGTCCCATTCCCCCCCCTTTATTCCCCTCCATTCTGCACACCCCCTCCCACCCACATTCCCTCCCTTTCATTCATGTCCATGGGTCATAAGTTCTTTAGCTTCTACATTTCCCACACTACTCTTGCCCTCCCCCTGTCTATTTTCTCCCCACCATCTATGCTACTTATTCTCTGTATCTTCTCCCCCCTTCTCCTCCTCCCACTTCCCTGTTACTAACCCTCTATGTGATCTCCATTTCTGTGGCTCTGCTCCTGTTCCAGCTGTCTGCTTAGTTTGCTTTTGTTTTAGGTGCGGTTGTTAATAACTATGAGCTTGCTGGCTTGCTGTCCTTTCACTGTTCCCCTTTTTTATCTTCTTTTCTTAGATAAGTCTCTTTAACATTTCATATAATAAGGGCTTGGTGATGATGAACTCCTTGAACTTGACCTTATCTGAAAAGCACTTTATCTGCCCTTCCATTCTAAATGAAAGCTTTGCTGGACAGATCAATCTTGGATGTAGGTTCTTGCCTTTCGTGACTTGGCATACTTTTTTCCAGTCTCTTCTTGCCTGCAAGGTCTCTTTTGAGAAATCAGCTGACAGTCTGATGGGAACTCCTTTCTAAGTGACTGTCCCCTTATCTCTTGCTGCTTCTGGAATTCTCTTCTTCATTTTAATCTTGGGTAATGTAATTATAATGTGCCTTGGTGTGTTCCTCCTTGGGTTGAACTTCTTTGGGACTCTCTGAGCTTTTTGGACTTCCTGGAAGTCTATTTCCTTAGCCAGATTGGGGAGGTTCTTCTTTATTATTTGTTCAAATAAGTTTTTCACTTGTTGCTCTTCCTCTTCCCCTTCTGGTGCCCCTATAATTCAAATGTTGGAACGTTTCAAGATGTCCTGGAGGTTCCTAAGCCTCTCCTCATTGTTTTGAATTTTTGTTTCTTCATTCTTTTCTGTTTGGTTGTTTCTTTCTCTCTTCTCATCCACTCCATTGATTTGAGTCCCAGTTTTGTTTCCATCGCTATTGGTTTCCTGTGAATTTTCCTTCATTTCACTTAGTGTAGCCTTCATTTCTTCATCTAATTTGCGACCAAAATCAACCAGTTCTGTGAGCATCCTGATCACCAGTGCTTTGAACTGTGCATCTGATAGGTTGGCTATCTCTTGGTCACTTGAAAGTATTGGCTCTGGGGCTTTGATTTGTTCTTCCATTTTCACCATAATTTTTTTGTCTGGTTGCACCTGTTGCATAGTGAAGGGTGGAGCCTTAGATGTTCACCAGGGCAGGTCAACCCAGTGGCTGACCCGCTCTTTCCTGTACACCTTGCTCTATGCATCTTTTTCATCTGGCTGTTCCCGAGTTATATCTTTTTATAGCAAACTGGTAATCTACTAAGTAAAATATTTATCTAAGTTCTATAAGTCACTCTAGAAAATTAATTGAACTCATGGAGGGGATTGTTGGAAACTTTGATCCATAACTATTCTTTCAAAAGCATAGATGACAACCTGGACTTGTGATCTGTGTCTGAAGTGAAGTCTTGTAGGACTGAGCCCTTAACTTATGGGATCTGATATTACCTCCAGGTAGATAATATCAGAATTGAGTTGAATTATAGGCCATCCAGTTGATGTCAGAGAATTGCTTGGTGGTGTGGAGAAAAACACACACATCAGAATTGGTGTCAGAATTGTAGAAACTAAGTAGAGATTGGGTTTCACAGTTACCTTCTTCCATCCTATTATTGCCTTCATTACCATGCCTGTTCATAAGCATGAGTTTATATGCTTGAAAATTCTTTTTAGAAGAAATGGAGAAGATATGGAGAAGAGGAGCCACAGAAATAAAGGAAAGGATAGATGTCACAAAGATAAAGTCTGACTTCAATCAGAGAAAAGGAATGCAGGAAAAAGGCAAGAGAGATAATATTATTTTGAAGACCAAAGGACAAAAATCTTCCCAGAGCAGAGAAGAGAAATCTCTTGCTTTTCTTCCTGAACATCAGGGCTGTGTCCAGAGGGACTTTGAGTCAGAACTGAAGCAGTGGGAGTGGGGCCCAACAGAGCATTAGGAAAGGGGAAACTTCACTCAGCGATTCTGCAGTGGGAGTAGTGCAAGATGTCTTTCATAAATGGCTTGCTGGCAACTGTCCCCTTAGAATAGTCCAGAACAGAAAAATATTGGAGGTGTGTGTGGCTAAAGAACATGAGAGACCTGCTAGGACATAACTAGATACATGTCAGTAAGACTGGGACCATGGTCCTGTGTCAGGCCAGTTGAAGGCTTTAATCCTGCAAACTTCTAACATTAGTGTTATGTGACCTTATTTATTGCCAGGGCTGATGATGTCTGAGGGGCATCGGGTTACATATATAAGTATTTTTCATCACAGATATTAAACTCATTCTAAGGTGGAGCTCTGTCCTAATCACTCCTGTATCCTCCATAGGATAATGCTTTGTATGTGGTGGAGGAAATTCTTAGTCTTTGCTTTAATGTCATGGTCAAAATTACCCTCATGTGAACCTCTGGAAGGCTTTTCCTAGGAATAGTCTTCCCAGAGCCCCATGCATGTCCTTGTTTCTCAAGCTGTAGATGAAAGGGTTCATCATGGGAGTGACCACAGCATACATCACTGTGGCCACTGAGTCCTTCATGGAGTAGGTGTTGAGGGGCTTCAGATATACCATACAAAGTGTCCCGTAGAAGAGGGTGACCACAGCCAGATGGGAGGCACAAGTGGAGAAGGCTTTGTATTTGCTGGAGGCTGATGGTATTCGGAGGATGGCACTGACAATCCGGACATAGGACATGATCATGAAGCCAAAGGGCATAAGGAATATGAGGGATCCTGTGGCAATCAATACCATGTGATTGACTTGAGTATTGGAACATGCAATCCTCAGCAGGACGTACATCTCACAGAAAATGTAGTGGATCTTCCGAGACCCACAGAAAGTCACCCTGGTCATGAGGAGGGTGTGGATGAGGCCATAGAGAACAGAGAACACCCAACATAAGGTGAGGAACAAAATACAGAGCCCACGGCTCATAAGTGTGGTGTAGTGAAGGGGGCGGCAGATGGCCACATAGCGGTCATATGCCATTGTGGCCAGGATGAGGTTGTCCAGGGCTACCAAGGAGACCAGGAAGTAGAGCTGTGCTAGACATCCTGCATAGGAAATGGCTTTGTTCTGGGACTGAAGGTTCACCAGTGTGTTGGGGACTGTGTTGGTGACAAAGAAGAGGTCTGTGAAGGAGAGATTGGCCAGAAAAAAGTACATGGGAGTGTGCAGACGTGAGTCAGTACCTATGGCAAGGATGATGAGCAAATTTCCCACTACTGTGACCAGGTACATGAGCAGGAACATCCAGAACAGGACCTGTTGGTCTTCAGGATTCTCAGAGAGCCCCAGGAGTATGAAGTCTGAGACCCAACTCTGGTTGCCTCCATGCATTTCCCCACCTTTCTGCAATATCAGCATCAACAGATATTTACTATATGCCCTCAATCAAATGAGAACATTCAAATAATGAAAACCAATGGTTTTTGAGCATTAAAATATTTTAAGCTAGATTTTACATTTTTTTGAATAAGAAACAATGTGACAATAAACATAAAAACAGAACATGGAAAATCTCTATGTAATTTATTAATTCCAGCCATATCTAATATGGCATACTCACTATAATAGGAATAACATCAACTGTATTATTTTAAATAGTATCATCTTATAATTCTCTTAGAAGTGCTTACAGATTAGTATGTTATATTATGATATTGTGCACACTTACATGATATTTAAAACAGATGTATGCAGTATAATAAATTGATGTTATACAACTAGGCAAAGGGGAAAAGTAAAAATATTGAAAAGGAAATGGAAAAATTATCATTAATTGCTGATAGGATGATCTATCTGGGAAACCTAAACAATCAGCTGAAATGCAGTTAGAAATAAAAAGAAAGTTCAGAACACTTGAAAAGAAGTCTAGGCTCTGACACTTTCTAGCTGTAAATATTTAGGAAAGTTACACGTTCTTTGACTCCATTTCTTAATGTGAGAAAACAGGTCAAACAGAATAAAATTAAATAATAAAGTGCTTAATACAAGAAGTTAACTTCAGTGAGTACTCAAGAAATATTCACTATTGTTATTAAACTATAATCAGGAATAATAAGATTAAAATATGATGTTCAACAATTCCACCCACATTATCAACAAAGAAAGCTATGCATTAAGATGTTAATGAGAATCAGACAGGGTCTTCAAATTCTTCAGAGAGTCATAAAATAAAATATTAATAAATGGATAGATATACCAAGATTCCAGATAGGAAGCTGAACTATTGCAAAGGTACATACTCTATCAAATTAATGTAAAATTTAACTTATCCAAAATAAAAATTCTAACAGGGTTTTTAAGGAAACAGAACTCATCTAAATTTAATCTAAAAATAAGCATGAGGACTTCTGGTCAAGATGGCAGACCAGGCAAACATTGTGCTTACCTCCTTCTGCAGCCACATCAAAATTATAGGTAAATTATGGAATGACCTCATCTGAGAACTATATGAAGACTATCAGAACAGAACTTATATAATTAAGGATATAAAAAGAAGCCACGTTGAGATGGGAAAGAGGGGTGAAATGGGCTTGCCCCATCATGTGTGGTAGTTAAAGAGTTGGAAGAGATATCCTGGCTGTGGAGATCCCCCCTGAAGAGCAAGGAGTCCCAGCCCTGCATCAGATTACCCAAACCTGGAGCACCAGAGTGGCAGATAAGTTTTTACAACTTCTGGGTTTTAAAATTAGCAGGGACTTAGTCTGGATGACACAAAGGGCTACTGAAAACCTAGGCATCCTTTAAAGAGCCCGAGCATAGCTTCACTTGCCTTAAGTTCAGGAAAGGGGACAGCAGCCTGAAAGCACCAGGGTCATATGGGGAGGAGCTGAATTGTTTGGCTTCAGGGTGAAGGCTGTAGGGACAGTCCTCTTTGGGACTGAAGTATCATCAGGTGCCATTGTTCCTTTGTTGAACTCCCCCCCGGACATAACCCTTAGATGCAGGCAGAAGTGCTAGCAGGTGCCACTGTTCCTTTTTTTGAGCCCTTGCCTCACCCAGTGAGCAGAAGACACAGGCCAACACTGAATGTTAGTCTCCATTCACTTGGCTAACATTGCTCTCCACCTACTATGATGATTCTCTGGGATTTCATCCCAGTCAATTCACCTACCAGGCCTGAACTTCTTTCAGACGATAATCCACATAGGCAGCTGCACTGGGCTCATGCTGTGTACTATCCTAAAAATCTTCCAAAGGTCCCCAAACAAGCAGCAGCTGGCCTCTGCATGCCTTGTCTCCAAGCCAAGCACTAGTGGCAGCTGGTTTCTGTTCACAGCATAACCACCCCCAGGTGTCTCTTCTAAGATCAGCACAGGCAGCTACCAACCATGGGTCACTTTGTAGCTCCTATGAAGACACAGGCAGTGGTACACTTTGGCCTGTACCAATAGGCCCCAGAACCAAAACACCTGAACTTCAGAGTGTATCAGAACACCACCCAATGAGCAGCACAAATGACATACCCAAAAGGTGGACTCAGCAGGCACCAAAGTTCCACTAAAATGAATCCAGCTCTGTGGGCTTAGCTCCCACACAACAGCTTATATGCTGTAGTCATGGGCAGTTCTCACAGCCAGTCACAGGGCTAAATTCAACGACTGACGTGCCAACAACAATCAAAGCTCAACTCAAACAAAACAATACACACAACCACACAAAGGGCATCCCTGGGACACTAACTCAGGTGGACAGGGAGACTGTGCCACTGAGTCTGGCAGGAAACCTACTATATAAGGCCACTCTGCCAAGATTGGGAAATGTAGCTGTTCTACCTAATATGTAGAAACAAACACAGGGAGGCAGCCCAAGTGAGGAGACAAAGAGGCATGTCCCAAATGAAACAACAGAACAAAACTCCAGAAGGAGAACAAAGCAAAATGGAGACAAACAATCTACTAAATATAGAGTTCAAAACACTGGTTATAAGGAACTGGTCAAGGAACTGAGGGGAAGAATAGATTATTTCAGTGAGAACTTCAACAAAGAGAGGAAATATAAAAAAAGAGGTAGAAACAAAAAAGAACTAGTCATAAATGAGGAGGAATAATAACTGAAATGAAGAATATATTATAGGGAATCAACAGTGGATTAGATGAAGCAGAGGATCAAATCAGACAAGGTAGCAGAAAACATCCAATCAGAGCAGCAAAAAGACAAAAAGAATCTAAGAAATGAGGTTAGTTTAAGGAGCCTCTGGGACAACATCAAGCATATCAACATTCACATCATAGGGGTACCGGAAGGAAAAGAGAGAGAGCAAGTGATTAAAAACCTATTTGAAGAAATAATGACTGAGAACTTCTCTAATCTGCTAAAGGAAATAGACATATAAGTCCAGGAAGCAGAGAGAATATAAAATAAGATGAACTCAAAGAGGCCTACACCAAGACACATCATAATTAAAATGCCAAAGGTTAAAGACAAAGAGAGAATCATAACTGCAGCAACAGAAAAGCAGTTAGGCTCATGCAAAGAAGCCCCCATAAGACTGTCAGCTGATTTTTCAACAGAAACTTTACAGGCCAGAGGGGTTGGTATGAAATAATCCAAATGATGAAAAGCAAGGACCTGCAACTAAGATCCCTCTACCCAGCAAGACAATCATTTAGAATAGAAGGAAAAGCTCTCCAGACAAGAAAAATCTGGAGTTTATCACTACCAAAACAGTATTATAAGAAATGTTAAAGGGATTTATTTAAGAAGAAGGAGAAATAAATTAAACATATGAATAAGAAAATACTAAAAGAAAAAAGTTTTCACTGATGAAGGCAAACACATAATAAAAACAGCAAATCACCCAACAATAGCTAGTACAAAGGTTAAAAGGCAAAAGTAGGGTAATGTGTAACACTACAGTAACTTAAGAGACACACACAAACACAGAGAAAAGAAGTAAATAATGACAAATACATAAATGTGGAAGGAATGAATAAAAATGCTAGTGATTACATCATAGAATGTGTTCAAACTAAAGTGACCATCAACTTAAAATAGATAGCTATAAACCTAGCTTGGTATACGTGAAGTGCATCTGCCTGGCAGGAGAGAAGGTAGGAGACAGGTTAAGAGGGCTGTGCAAAGCCAGAGGACATCCGGAGGAATTGGTTCCTCTGCTTTCCAGGCCTCAAGTCAGGCATCTTCCTCACTTTAGTGTACATTAAAATCACCTGGGATGCTTTAAAACAAAAAGCCTTTGTTCTTGTCCCCTTCCATCCTTCCTTCAGTATTGAGAGCCAAGTTTTTTTTTCTTTCATTTTTTAATCACCTGGAGATTGTGAGTGTACACTTTGGGAAACACTGTTTCTAGCTTGTAGGAGTCACTGGATTCTGAACATCTGTTGTCAGTTGTTTTTACTGCTCTCTGCAGTGTGGCTGGGTGGAGAGAGGAAAGAGTGTGGGGTGGCATGGAAAAGGGCTCTAAACTCAACATTGGACAGCTTTCCTTTTGTACTCCTGAGTTTCTCTCTAGCTGCATGACCTTGAGGAGGGCACACAATCTCCTTGAGCCTCCTCATCCTACCCATAAGCTTTTCTTGAAAGTTTGAGAACCACACACAACACTGTTTGGTTCTATAGTTTTCAAATTGCTTTTTGACAGAAGTTTGAAAACTACAGAATGAAAAAAAAAGATTGGAGAGATTGTTATATTACTTTTAAAAATTAAGAAGGTAGATTATATGAAGATATTCAAAGTATATATTTTTGCGAGATAGAGAAAATGGAGAAGAGAGAAGATAAGAAGGGGAGAAAGGGTGGGGGTGGAAGAGAGAGAGAGTGAGAGAGAGAGAGATGGGAGGGGAGAGGAGAATCTCTGAGATGTCCAGACCTTACCCCCTCTGTCTGTGCTGCTCTCAAAGTTGCCTAGTTCTGCTGTTTCCACTTTCCTTCTGTAAAGGATGAAAATTTGTCAGGACATAAAGGATTGTAAGGTGTTGTTTCTGAATGGGATTTGGTGATTCATTCTATTGGCTGAAGCTGGGAAGGAGGAATTAGTTCCTGGATTTTCAGTGCCTGCATAAAAGGAGGAAAATGTAAGGCTGTGAACGCTCTGATGATCCTTGGGAATCTGAGAACTGACCCCTTGATACCAGGCTCATGAGGAAAGGGACTGAGCTGGAGCCATATCAGGCCTATTTGTCAGTTTTGAAGAGGCCTCAGGGACGACAGTCCCAAGATGGCTTGTTGAGATGAACTTGGATAATTGCTCCAGTGTTAGTATCTATAAACAAAAGCCTTGGGAAATGAGTTGTTTATGAGGAGTAAACCAATTCCATATTGGGCAGCAATTCTAAAGGGCACCCTAGGTGTAAGAATAAGCCATAAGTAAAGAAGACCTCCTGGTCTGG